TCCGGATGCACTGGTACTGATTGAAGTACTTTCGTCTACACTTGGGCCGCAAGCAGGACAGCCAGGTTTTATGTTGCTCTCGTCATCAAAGTTTGCGGCTTGGGAGGAAAGAATTCCTTTAGGAAGGAGAGCAGCAGCAATTTCACGCACCGGCTGCAATTGTACTGAATTATGCTCTGTACTAGAAAGAAGAGCGGTTGCGAAATCGAGTCTGCCTAGCCGCCATGCAGTATTACAGACCCCTGGTAGGTCTGTAAACATACCACCCAGATCCATTAGGGCATTGCCTCGAGCTATTAAAGCTTCTGGATAGCCTGGCATCAGGGTGTTCAGCTGGCTGGTGATCTGAATAACAGAATGAAGACGACCACCCCTGAAACAAGGCAAGTTATGGAAAAGGGAGGACTAAAGTAAGAAGTATTAAGTACTAGGTCTTTTATTATTAAATTCCTAGACCTTATTCTAGCCCCATCCCGAAAGCCACGTGATCCCATAAATTTAATGCAATTCGCTTTGGCAGAAGAGATTTCATGCGAACAACTCCGTCCTTTCATTGAATATCCCGGTAATTTTACCATTTAATCTTCTTGCTTCCAAGCATTAGCATATTCTGGATGGACACTAAAATATTTATATTACCCACAAGGAGTTTAAATTCTTATTTTTTGTATGTACAAGCATTTACACTTGATAAGCTATCGGTACAAACAGAAGGCTTCTAGAAGTTTACCTGTGATGACAATAAGCGAGGGAGAGTTGTAACTCTGGCCAGAATAGTGCCACCTGACCGATCTTTCTGAGGTCTGCTTCTGTGCTAGTCAATTGTCGGTAACTCGGTGGTATCAGAGGCTCAAGCTCATGCGATATGTCATCTGCTCTAAAATGGGCACTTGCCAAGGCTACTTGCTCTCGAAGTCGTCGGCAGAGTGCCAATACTCGTTTCCTTCGCAGATGACGTTCAGAGCCGGCCAACCAACTCTGGAACTCAGAATTTCGAGGCCCGACTTTTCGTGCTCTAGTACTTCTGAAGAGTAGGGCTTCAAGGATTCCAGCTAGCATGGCCACTGCCTCGTCTGTTTCACCTGGTGTCTCCTCTCCCTTAGTCAGTTTTGAATTCCCCTCTTGCTCAGGCTCATCCACTCCACAATGCGGTTGTTGTTTGGCTTCTCGGGAAACGGATGAGACAAGAGGTCTGCCAATCAATGGCTGAAGTCTCACCAAGGTCTTCACTGCATGCAATGGCGTTTGGGGCTGCTGACTTTTCTCTAAAATAGCAACGTTGGCAAGGCGATCAAGAGTTGAGACGAGGAGAGATTGGGCCTGCTGGAGATCAAACAAGGCGGCGTTGGGGCTCTCTAAGTTGGAACTAGAAAGATAGAGAACTGCACGATTGACGTAAAGTCGAAGGCGAACGGTTTGTGCTGTGAACCCAGACTCCGGAAGAATAAATAGGACAGTAGAATAGTCCTAATAAAAGAATGAAATAAAACAGGTGTATTATTAATTATAATGCTACCGCTCATATTTACAGAAAGTCTAAGAAGTAACGTCACACTGTTATTTCAAGATGGGCATTCTATGTAGGTTTGTTAGCAATTAAAAGCTCGCAGACCTGTTTTCATCACTGAACTTCATTAACATCCAACAAGGCCTCATTCTTTAAATTAAGATAAAAATAAAAATTCTGAAGCCAAGGTAGTTTAGGTATACAACACATTTTGAATATTTTGGATGACTCTGAAGGTATATCAAGAAAAGCATCCCAGGTAGTATGAATGCACATTAATCAAAAAAATGCAGTGAATGCAATATTTCGATTTTGTCAGAACGGGTCAAACGAAGGTGTAATATTTAAAACATCAAAAGGATACATTATATGCGGGAGAAGGAAATTTCAAATTGTTTTAATAATAAGATTAGTAGGTCGATGTGAGGAGAAGCGTTAGTATATTCCACCCATCCTCCTGTTATATTTCGCACCAACATAAATGCAGACGTTGTCTCCAGGATTCCCTTATTCGATTCCGATAAAAACGAACGGATATCTCATCTGCCATATGTTTTAGAAGAGA